TGCAGGCGGTCTCTGGCCGTGCGCCCTGAGATCTTAGCGGCGGCGATCTCCCTGACTCGCCCTCGACTGCGAGCCAGCGTCTCGCCGCGGGGAAATTCCGCCTCCGTCGCGCCGTCGAAGGCGGGGAGGAGGGCGGGCGCCCCTCCGCGCAAGGCCTGGTACGCGACGCTCCCATCGGCGTTCGCCAAGGCATTGTGGGCGAACGCGACGGTCGCCAGCGTTTGCTCCACAAGGGCATGAGTGCTCTCCTTCTTCATCTGGCCCTCAGTGGAGCGGAAACTCTGGCGCTGAATCTGCCGGCGTCGCTCTGCAACCCAAGCTTTCGAGCCTGGTGGTGGCCGGTGCTTTAGCTGAATGCGGTTCGCCCCCGCCCAAACCGCCACTGCACTGCGCTCCATGCCTGATTCGCCGTCTTGGACCCAGGTCCTCATGGGCCCGCGCATGGTCAACCGCAGCTCACTGATGCGAGTGCATAGCGCGATCTCTTCCGCGTCCTTGAGGACGCCGTTCGCTGACCGCCGCGCGCAAGCATCAACGAGATGCATGATGGTTTTCTGGAGTTGTGGCCTGTCGATCAGGCTGCGAAGGAACCGCGAGTCCATCTGGATTTCATGATTGAACACTGCGATGAGGCGCGTGGCCCTCACTGATGCTGTTGCTGGTATCGGCCAAGTTCTACAAACATCACGCCCCTGCACAAGTCCAGGGGCTCTTCCTACATATCGCGCCGATGCGCCAGCTGCTCGCAAGAGAGTCTGCATGTGCGTGGGCGCAAGGTGGTACCATCTGATGTGTAGTCGCTGCATGGCTAACTTCCTGAGCTCCTCGTCGTCAGAGCTAAATCTGGCCATCGCGCGCGAAACGTCATCGGTTCACCAGTCCCCCTTGCCTCCAAGTCCTCCTTGCGTCTCGGCGTCGGCCACGCCAGGGCGCCACGCCCCTGTGTCGGACCGAATATTGCGAACTTTCGGATCCAGCGGCTCGCCCAGCTCGCCTGGCATCAACTCCTCCTCCGTCGGAGAGGGAGGGCCGACCTCGGCCCGTTGCTCGGGGGAGCGCGCGGGTGGTTCGCCGGCAGGTGCCAACAAGGGCCCGGCGCTACTGCCGGAAGCTGCAGCGTGCACGTGCCCACGCGCGTCGCTCCTGGCCCCGGGCGAATTTCCATGCCCGGCGCCACCTCCTGCGGGAGAGCCTGGGCGGTCATCTTCCGCATCTGAACCGCCCGCGGCGTGAGCTGGGGGGCCGGCGATGAGTTTTCCCGGGCCCTGGGCAGTCAAGCTGCTCGTCGTCGGTCAAGCGTTTCCGCCGCTCTGCCCCCCCCCCCTCCCCGCGGCGATGGGCTTTGCCGACCAGAGAAACGCGCAGCTTGCAACGAGTCCCCCTTGCTGCTCTCTCCCGCCTTCCTTCCTCTCCCCCCAAATCGAAGCGCGCCTGGGGGCTCGGGCAAAGCGAACAAAGAGGGGGATCCGACGTTGGATCCCTTTTTTTCCCGGAAAGGGCTCGAGCCCAGGGTTCTCTTTTAGATGGTTTTCCCCTCGGTTTTTACTTGAAGGGGGCCGGCGGAATTCTCGTGCGATAAATTACCAAGTCGAAGCGGGCCGGCGGATTTCAACTGTGAGGACGAAGGCCATTTTTCGCCACCTCTCACGCAGATCGTGCTCTTGGAATTTTACTGCCTTTAAGGAAACCTCGATATTTTACAAGTGAAGTCCACTGTTTTCCGACATCGACTTTAAACTATAAAAAAAAACAAGGTAAACGCGTTCGTTCGATAAATGACAAGGTACAGCGGCCTCCGGAACCGCGCTAAGAACATAGTTTTGGATTCTTGAAGTTGCATAAGTTCGGAAATAGCAGAAATCCCATGTGTTTTTTGACCCTGACCCCGCCGATCTGCGTGAGGTGTGGCACGGAATGCCAGAAATGTGTCAAATCCCATGTGTTTTTGGACCCTGACCCCGCCGATCTGCGTGAGGGGTGGCGCGGAATTCCAGAAATGTTGCAAATCCCCTTTATTTTTGGACCCTGACCCCGCCGATCTGCGTGAGGGGTGGCACGGAATTCCAGAAATATAGCAAATCCCTTGTGTTTTCGGATCCTGACCTCGCCGACCTGCGTGAGGGGTGGCACCGAATTTCAGAAATGTGGCAAGTCCCATGTGTTTTCGGACCTTGACTTCGCCCAGGAGGGCCCAGGAGGCTCCAGGAGAGCCCAGGAGAGCCCAGGAGGGCCCAGGAGAGCCCAGGAGGGCCCAGGAGGACCCAGGAGGCTCCAAGAGGCACCAGGGGGCCCAAGGAGGGCCCAGGAGAAGCTCCAGGAGGCTCCAGGAGAGCCCAGGAGGGCCCAAGAGGTCCAAGGAAGACCCAGGAGGGCCCAGGAGCCCTTACGAGGGATCGTGGCCCTGGGAGCGCTGACGTAGTGTAATTTACGAGGGATCGTGGCCCTGGGAGCGCGGGTGTAGTGTAATTTTGACAAAGTGCGTTTCGTGCGTGCCCGCTCGAGGAAAGTGCGCCCCCCATCTCGGATCCTTTCTAAAAAACTAAATCCGCAAACCCCCGTTTCCCTTCGATTAAAAAAAGGTGCGGAGCGTTTTTCGTAGAAACCTCGACAAATAACGGGATCTGGAGCCTCGACCGCGACGCGGAAAAGCACTCCGCGCGCAGGAATTCCGGGGATGTCTCGCGCGTGCCGCGTCCCGCGCGCAGGAATTTTGAGGATGTCTCGACTAATTCGCTTGTTTTGCTTGGATTTCCTGGGATTTTGACAGGATGTCTCGAACGAACGCTTGTTGTTCATAATTTGTTCAGGGTGTCTCGAGCGAAACGCTGGTTTTGCAAACTTGGGGGATGTCTCGAGCGGGGGCCTCGTGGGGGCGTGGGGGGCCAGAATTCAGAGGATGTCTCAGGCGAAATGCTTGTTTTCACGTCCCGCTCGCAGGAATTCCGAGGATGTCTCGCGCGTGCCGCGTCCCGCGCGCAGGATTTTTGAGGATGTATCGACTAATTCGTTTGTTTAGCTATGATTTCTGGGAATTTTGACAGGATGACTCCAGCGACACGCTTTTTTTTATTATTTTTTTTTATTATTTTTTTCATAATTTGTTGAGGATGTGTCGAGCGAAACGCTGGCTTTGCAAAATTTGAGGATGTCTCGAGCGGGGGCCTCGTGGGTGGCCAGAATTCAAATGATATCTCATGCGAAATGCTTGTTTTCACGTCCCGCTCGCAGGAATTCCGAAGATGTCTCGCGCGTGTTGCGTCCCGCGCGTAGGAATTTTGAGGATGTCTTGACTAATTCGCTCGTTGTGCTTGGATTTCCTTGGATTTTGACAGGATGTCTCGAACGAACGCTTGTTTTTCATAATTTGTTCAGGGTGTCTCGAGCGAAACGCTGGTTCTGCAAACTTGGGGGATGTCTCGAGCGGGGGCCTCGTGGGGGGCCAGAATTCAGAGGATGTCTCAGGCGAAATGCTTGTTTTCACGTCCCGCTCGCAGGGGTTCCGAGGATGTCTCGCGCGTGCCGCGTCCCGCGCGTAGGAATTCTGATGATTTTGAAAGGGTGTCTCGAGCGAAGCGCTTGTCCCCAACACGTTCCGTAGCGCGTCCCCTTGGCACGTCCCGCGGTGCGTTCCCATGGCACGTCCCTTGGCACGTCGCTTGGCGCGTCCCTTGAGACGTTCCGCGTCGCGTCCTCCTGGCATGTCCCGTTGTCCATTAGCTCTGGGGCAGCTACTATGTGTTCAGGCAACTCGAGCTTAAGATCCAGATCGCTTCGGACAGGACTCGGATGCAAAGGAGGACTCGATCCACGAGGCTATAGAGCACAACCGCGGCATGGCACATCGCAATTCAGCACGGCGCAGCACAGCACACATTTCGGCACGGTACATTAAGATCGATACACTCAGCATTGCAACTTGGCACGTTCCTTGGCACGTTCCGTGGGGCGTCCCTTGGCGAGTCCCCCTGACAGGTCGCGTGGCGCGTCCCCTGGCACATCCCGTGGCACATCCATTGGCACGTTCCGTAGCGCGTCCCCTTGGCACGCCCCGCGGTGCGACCCCATGGCACGTCCCCTGGCACGTCGCCTGGCGCATCCCTTGGGACCTTTCGCGGCGCGTCCTCCTGGCATGTCCCGTTGTCCATTAGCTCTGGGGCAGCTACTATGTGTTCAGGCAGCTCGAGTTTAAGATCCAGATCAGTTCGGTCAGGACTCGGATGCAAAGGAGGACTCGATCCACGAGGCTATAGAGCACAATCGCGCCATGGCACATCGCAATTTAGCACGGCGCAGCACAGCACAGCCCTCGGCAGGGTACATCAAGATCGATACCTTCAGCATTGCATTTGCCCGTCACCCAATCAGGTGTCCTTGAAAACGCTGACATGTGTTACAGTTATATTTTCCTTTCCGGGTTCGTGGGTCGATCATGTTTCTTCTCTCGAATGCGCTTTCGTCAGATCAGCGCGCGTCATCGCGAAGCGATCGGCGCCGAGGATCACAGCAACGCTGAACCTCGCGGGCCCAGGGGGGCAGCAGGGGGCGCGCGAGGGGGTGGCAGGGGGGCGCGAGGGGCAAAGGGGCACAGCGCGGGCACGCGAGACCATACCTGATCGCACCATTTCCTGCAGCGATTTTGACTCAAACCACGCGGGCAGCAGCTGCGCGCTACACGTCTCGCTGCAGCAACGTGGCCGCCATCAACTCTGCGGTGGCGCTGCCGGAGAGCTCGGGGAACTCCCTTGGCCTTGCCGGCTGCCCAGCCTCGCGTTCGGCGAAGCGCCGCAGCACGCGGGGGGCATGAATGCGAGCGGCCACCCGTGCATCAACACGAGCAACTTGGAGTCGGAAGGACAATGCCATTTTGCCGATCTACCAGCGCAGTTTGCAACGGTGCGCGGCAAGATGACCCAATGATTCGCAGACTACCTGGGCGACGACGAGGGCGACGTGCCTTGGGGGGCCTCAACGACTGCGCGAAGACGTGCGACTTCAAAGGCATGCCGTTCTCCCTGAAGAAGAAGCCGCCAGGCCAGTACTCCACGCAGGTGTTCGTCGTCAAGAAGGCCGACAACAAGAGCGACGCCCTGAAAGACGCGAACCGCCTGGGGGCGCCCACCAAGACGGATTCGCGCCTTCTGGCGTTTCGCGGCACTCGCCTGACATGGCGCTGCGGCAACCAGTTTAGGATTGGGCGCCTGGCCGTGCAGCACATGCTGGAGAAGCTGGAAGGCCAACAGCTGCGCCGCCGCACCGCGGTCGCGAAACCCGGCAAGCGGCCTTCCAGGAAGACGGCCGAGTGGGAGCTCAAGGCCGCGGGGTACGCGTTCATACGGGAGACGGGGCCGCGCACCAACAATGCGAACCAGTTCATGGAGTTCGCGGATCGGGAGAGCTGTCGGCCAGAGTCCTATATTTTCGGGCGGGAGGAGGGCCGCGTCGAGAGAGCCCTGAACAAGTGCGCGAAGGGCAAGGCAAACGCCGAGGGCCTCGCGACCTGGATCCCGACGCTTCGCGACTTCGAGCCTTGCTCCTCAACGGCGTGATCAAGCCCATCCCGGCTTTCACTCTCGGGGCCATCGGCGCGGCGTGGCTCGGCAAGACGCGCGTCGGGAAAAGCGCTGCGTCAACGGCGCTGGCTTCCACGATGAGCCGCGTGGAGATCGAGGCGCTGGAGTAGTCCGGAGAAGCCGAGGTGGGCGAGCTCGCGCCGACGGCCGTCACCGCCAAACATTTCGCCATCTTCAAGGCAGAGCCCGTGGCTCGCGTCAGGCCCGCCATCTTTGACGACGACGAGCTGTCTGAGCAATCGGCATCTACCCTCAAAGCATTCCTGAACCCGCGCGAGGAAGACGCTGCGATTTGGGCTCGGTGGGGTTCGTCCGAGTTCGACACTGGGGCTTCGCGCCAGGTGCGCAACGACGCCTACGAAGAGCTCTTCGAGGCTGAGCTCGTCTCCAAATTGAAGGAGAGCGCGCCGAAAGACATGGGCAGCGACGACTTCATGCGGCCGATAAGGCCGTCGCTTCCGCGGGCGGAGGAGGACGGGGACTTGCTGGCCGCCGGCTCGCGGACGAAATGCGCAGCGGTCATGGACAAGCGGGTGTACTTCCGCCGTGCGAGGGAGGAGCAACGCCGCGTGCCTTGGTGGACCTACACCAACCCGGCAAAGCCAGACCTCCTCTGCCAGAAATGCAAGGAGGCTTTCGGCAAGCACAGGAAATGCCCGACCAAGCCCGCGCGCCCCGCCAGCTTCGAGGATGACGCCAAGTGGTCGATGGACCACCTGAAGCACCTCTTACAGCACAAGGACGCGCCGCTCGTGCCGACTGTCACGGGCGCGGGCATCTTCCCCGCTGCCCCCGCGCCGCCCTCGTCGAGAAAGGGCCCTGACGAGCGGGGCGCCCCCTTGATGGGCGCCGCTGCGTCTTCCTCGAGCGGCCTTCCCAGATGCCGCTGCCGCCGCTGGCAGGGGGCGCGCGAGCCTGCTCGACAGCGTGGACAGAGACGAGCAGAAGGCGGCATGCGAGGCAATTCAGCAGGTTCTCTGGCAGAGGAGCGCGAAGGTCAGCGGAGAGCAGGCAGACTTGATGTCGCCTCCCCGCATGCGCTTGGCGACGGGGGCCCAGAAACTCACGGGGCGCGGTGGCGACCTCGGCCAGGTGGACGTCGACGAATAGAAGTCCATCTACGGGGCGACGCAGCGGGATTTCCTCCAGAAGAACCGGAGGGGCGCTGGGGCGCAGATGGACCTCGCGACGCCGCCCCGCCAGCGCCGCGCCGCGGAGGACGACGACGCTGACGCGGAGACCGCGCCGGCGCAGCACCCCGACCACGAGGGCGACCTCGTCTGCAAGCGAATGGAAGGGGCCCGCGCGCAGGCGGAAGAGAGTGGCATGACGGACTGAACTGATGGGTGAGCGGGGCGCCGTTAGCGTACATCATGACCCCCGCAGATGGGTTTCTTCCAGATGCACGCGCGCCCTTCGAGTCACGCGCGCGTCGCGCGGTGGCTTCTCGAAGCAGAGCGTGAGCTATGCAGGAGAAAGAGAATCCCCCTGCGGGCGCCGCGCCGCGACACCTTGGGCCGACGTGGGAAACGTGCTCGTCGACGTCGTCGTCGCCCCGCGTTGTGTCGCGTCGTCGCTCCCTGGGGAGCTTCGCCGCCGTCGTCGCAGCCAGCGTCTACGTTGCCGTCGCCGCCGTCGCCATCGCCATCGCCGTCGGAATCGTCGTCGTCGTCGTCGTCGCCAATGGCAGAGCATTGTCTGATGTCGATCAATGAGCGTCTGTTGGTGTGGTGCGCTGTCGTTGGACGGTCGCCGTTGCTTGCCCGCGGTAGCCGCTTTGGCTTGATCGACTCTCGCGCCCCCTGGCCCAAGCCTCCGACGCCTTGCACTGGCTGCGCCCCTCTACCAGCATGGCTCTTCACGACAACTGGAACGAATTCTCCGCCGCCGCCAAGGGCGCGAACGGAATTGACCACGGGAAGTTCCTCAAGGGAAGTCAGGTACGCCACCGTCAAGAAACCCGAAGTGTTGCCAAACAACGAGGGAGGGCGTTCGCATGCGCCCAGGCTCTCGGCCTCGCCCCTAAAGACACGGCGCGCCCCTCGCGCGATGCGGAGTACGTCCTGAAGCACGGGTGGCGGGGCGAAGGCGAAGAGCGGCTGATTCGGCGGGCCCTCGGCGCGGCAGGGGCTGCGGCGAGCGCCGCGGGAAGCGGCCGAGCGCCGCTGACATGGCGTTATTCGAGGGCACGCGTGCGGGGCGCTGGGTGGACATGCTAGACTGCTTGGCTATGTGGTTCGCTGACTGCCATCGCAAGACCATCACCTTCGAGCAGTCCCACATCGACCACGATGTGATAGACGCCTGGCCACTCGCTTTCAGGGGGCGCGCGAGCGACTGGCGCGACCTCATTTGTCCGAACTCGATCAAGAAGCCGCGGGCGCCAGAGAGCGGCGCGCGCAAGCGGCCCGCTGCTCGGCCCGCGCCAACGAAAGCCCCCGCCATGAAGGTCGCGCAGCAGAAGAAGGAGCCCGCGCGGAAGGCGCCCAAGAAGTTCGCGAGCCAAACCAACAAGACGATCGGCAAGCGCGCCCCCGTTGCCGACGAGTCGCCCCAGAACAAAAACAAGCCGGGGAAACCGAACAGAGCGGCGCGCCCCAAGAAGGGCCAGATCTGGACGCGGGGCGCCGGGCTGCAGGGGAACGCCCGCGCGCACTTCAGGCCCCGCATCTCGGAGCACCCCGCGGGCGCGAAGGACGGCGAGCCCCGCGGGCGCGCGGGGGCCAAGGGCAATCTCGACATGCTCAATTTCAGCAAGGGCGACATCCTTGTCTCGGACACACGGGGCGCGAACGCATCATCCGTGACAGCCATTCGCCGCCAGAAGGGCCTCGCGCAGAACGCCCTGCGCCACGAGCTAATGGACCGCGATGATGGCGAGATCGTGAACGCCAATGGATTCATCGCCAACGCGATCGAGGGCAATCGAGGCATCCTGAAGAGGCGGTTGAAGTGCATGCGCGGCGGCACGCCCCCGAATTACTCGGACCGCGCGAAGTGGCGCTGCGCGACTAACGAGTGCCGGACGCGCTGCGACCTCAGCAAGGACCAGCCACTGACTGATGACAAGTGCTACTACGTGCCTCTCCCCCACGGTCTGAGCATGTCTGCCGCGTCCTGAGCTCGGGCGCGCCCGCAGCCGCGGGGGCGCGTTGGGCTACATTATAGAGAGTGGATGCGTCTCCCGTTTTCAACTGACTGAAACTAGCGGCGCGCCAAGCCAAATATCGCCCGCATCCGAGAGCCCGAGATGGCAGGAATCGCATGCGCCGTCAACATCTGCACCGCCGAGAGCCCAAAGCATCTTCACCATCGCTGTCATCATCTTCAGCAATATGAGAATCGTAGAAACGCGGGATGCCACTATGCCCCCCAACCCGCCTACCCCCCCCCCATCCTTCGGAGGCTATAGCGGCGACATGGAATGCCCCGCTGCGCTCGTGGATTGCCGTTCTCCTGCCCGAGTCTCTGCGCCCCGGGCAACTGCGCGACCTGGCGCGCGCGCCCCGATCCGCGGCGATCTCGTCGCCAGCTTCCGCCGCCTCGCGCGCCGACGCCAATGCCGTCTTCACGTCGGTGACTTGCGTCGGCATAGCGACCTCGTCGCCTACTTCGCCCTGCCCCGCGATTGCTCGTTCCCCGCGGATATTCCTGCCACTGTTCGAGGTCACGGCGCGGTTCGCACTGCGAAGCGCGCCGGCGCCAAATTGCTCAGCTGCGTCGCGCGCGCCCGAGCCGACAGTGATCGCCGCAGTCTCTGCGCGAGCTTCTGGGCTGTCTTCGGGGACTGCGCTCCCTTCGAACTTCGCGGGCTGCTTCAACCAATCCGAAGCAACCTGCGCAACCGCCGTTCATGCGCCAAGGGCTCGCAGTGCCCGCGCTTCCGGCGCGCCATTTCTGGGCGCGCGGCGCGCCCCCTCACTGCGCGCGCCATTTTCTGCACAATCGCCGGCGTTTCCCATCGCGCCCCAGGTGGCCCGGGTCGCGCGCGGGCAGCGGCGCAACATCCAGGGCGCGCGTCCAGCTGAGGCTGCCCGAGGTTATATATCACCCGCCCACTGCCACTGCTCACTTCTCCGACTTCGTTGACCCCCTGCGCGCTTTTGGCCGCGAGGTGATTCTTTCGGCCGAACTTGCAGCATTGGCGCTCGCCCATGGGCGCGTAGCCAATGCCGCAAGGTTCACCTCCACGTGGTCCCGATTGCTTGCCAGCCCCTTGCAGTCACCGTGGTCGCCACTGTTGCATCCTTTCTGCCAGGCTGACGTCCTTCTCCTCCGCTACTGTGCTTTCCTTTGTCTTTGACTCTGCAGTCCCTGGCTATGTGGCACAATTTTCGCACCAGTGGCACATTGCTTCCCCTTGCCTTTGCTTTCGCCGACTGCGCCCGCGTCTCCGTCGCCCCAACCTTGGTCGCCGTTCCAAGCCAGGTTGCCTTCTTCCTCCATGAGCCACCTGTGTCATTCTTCATCATTTTATTCTTGGTGTCTCCCGTGGTAGGCCCCCCGATGCATGGCGCTCGCCCTCTTCCCCAACTCCCCTGATGCCCATTGCATCGCTGTTCTTTGCGTCAACGTCCGAGCGTTTTTCCCGGGGAAGGCTCGCGCCCAGGGTTAGTTTGTTCCCCCTGGGTTCGACTTGGGGCGGGCTGGCGAATTTCTTTTGCGAGGGATATCGAGGTCGAGGTGGGCCGGCGAATCAAAAATTGAGGATGTCTCGGGTGCGACGCTTTTTATTTCAGAATTCGTTGCGGATGTCACGAGCGAAGCGACTGTTGTGCGTTATATATTGTCCTCTCCTGGGGACACGAATTCAGAGGATCTCTCAAGTGAAAAGCTTGCTTTCACGTGCCCAGGTCTTGAGGATGTCTCGGGCGAGACGCTTAGTTTCACGCCTCCCGGTTGCCCAGACAGATATCTAGCATGAGGATGTGTTGAGGATGTCTCGAACCAGAGGCTTGTTTTCACGTGCCCAGGTCGCCCAGGCGGATGCCTAGCAAGAGGCGGTGTCGAGGAAGTCGAATGAGACGCTTGTTTGCACGTGTCCAGGTTGTCCAGGCGGATGTCTAGCATGAGGATGTGCTGAGGACGTCTTGAGCGAAACGCGTGTTTTCACATGTCCAGGTCGCCCACGCGCAGCACAGCCGTCGGCACGGTGCATCGGTATCGATACCCTTAGCATTGCAGCCTGGCGTGCTGCCTGGCACGTTCCGCGGAGCGTCCCGTGGCGAGACCCCCTGGCACGTCGCGCGGTGCACGTCCATTGGCTCGTTCCGCAGCGCGTCCCCTTGGCGCGCCCCGCGGTGCGCGCCCATGGCACGTCCCCAGGCGCGTCGCGTGGCGCGTCCCCTGGGACGTTCCGCGGCGCGTCCTCCTGGCACGTGACCCTGTCGATCAGTTTTGGGGCAGCTACCATCTGCTCAGGCAGCTCGAGTTTAAAATCCAGATCAGTTCGTTCAGGACTCGGATGCAAAGAGGACTCGATCCACAACTCTATATAGAGCACAATCGCGGCATGGCACATCGCAGTTCAGCACGGCCCAGCACGGCGCAGCCGTCGGCACGGTACATCAAGATCGATACGCTCAACATTGCACCTCGGCGCGTTCCTTGGCGCGTTCCGTGGCGAGTCCCCCTGGCGCGTCGCGCGGCGCGTCCCCTGGCGCGTCCCGCGGCGCGTCCGTTGGCGCGTTCCGTAGCGCGTCCCCTTGGCACGTCCCGCGGTGCGCCCCCATGGCGCGTCCCCTGGCACGTCGCCTGGCGCGTCCCTTGGGTCCGCGGCGCGCCCTCCTGGCATGTCCCCTCTGTCGACTAGTTTTGGGGCAGCTACCATCTGCTCAGGTAGCTCGAGCTTAAGATCCAAAACAGTTCGGTCAGGGCTCCGATGCCAGGGAGGGCTCGATCCACAACGCTATATAGATCACACTGGCGGCATGGCACATCGCAGTTCAGCACGGCGTAGCACAGCACAGCCATCGGCACAGTACATCAATCCGCCGGCCCCCTTGTGGGGCCACCAGGCTGCAGGACCGTGATTCGCAGTTTCCTGTGCCAGTTGTAGCTTGTAGTTTCCAGTGTTACAGTTCTGCTTCTTGTTGGTTACTGCAACTAGT